TATTCTTGCCATCTCTTCTTAGGATCTTCTGCTTCTATTAGGTCCATGCTATTTCTGTCCTTTATTGTGCCCATCTTTGCATGAAATATTCCCTTGGTATCTCTAATTTTCTTTAAGAGATCTCTAGTCTTTCCCATTCTATTATTTTCCTCTGTGTCTTTGCACTGTCCACTTAGGAAGACTTTATCTCTCCTTGCTATTCTTTGGAACTCTGCATTCGGATGGGTATATGTTTTCTTTTCTCCTTTGAGCTTTCACTTCTCTACTTTTCTCAGCTATATATAAGGGCTTCTCAGACAACCATTTTGCCTTTTTGCATTTCTTTTTCTTGGGGATGATTTTTATCACCACCTCCTATACAATGTTACGAACCTCTGTCCATAGTTCTTCTGACACACTCTATCAGATCTGATCCCTTGAACGTATTTGTCACATTCACTGTATAATTATAAGGAATTTGACTTAGTTCATGACTTAATTGTCTAGTGGTTTTCCCTACTTTCTTCATTTAAGTCTGAATTTGGCAATAAGGAGTTCATGATCTGAGCTACAGTCAGCTCCTGGTTTTGTTTTTGCTGACTCTATAGAGATTCTCATCTTCATCTGTAAAGAATATAATCAGTCAGATTTCAATATTGACCATCTGGTGATGTCCATGTGTAGAGTCTTCTCTTGTGTTATTGGAAGAGGGTGTTTGCTATGATGAGTGTTTCTCAGCAAAACTCTGTTAGCCTTTGCCCTGCTTCATTTTGTACTCCAAGGCCAAACTTGCCTGTTACTCCAGGTATCTGTTGACTTCCTGCTTTTTCATTCTAGTCCCCAGTGTTTCAAAGGACATCTTTTTTTTCCTGTTAGTTCTAAAATGTGTTGTAGGTCTTCACAGAACTGTTCAGCTTCAGCTTCATCTTCATTAGTGGTTCAGGCATAGACTTGGATTGCTGTGATGTTGAGTTTTTTTACCTTGGATATGAACTGAAATCATTCTGTCATTTTTGAGTTTGGACCCAAGTACTGCATTTAGAGTCTTTTGTTGACTATGAGGGATACTCCATTTCTTTTAAGGGATTCTTGCCCATGGTCATAGATATAACAATCATCTGAATTAAATTCGCCCATTCTGGTTCATTTTAGTTCACTGGTTTAAAAAATGTCAGTGTTCACTGTTGCCATCTCCTGTTTGACCACTTCCAATTTACCTTGATTCATGGATCTAACATTCCAATTCCTGTGCAATATTGTTCGTAGCATCAGAGTTTACTTTCAGTACCAGACACATCCACAACTCGCCATTGTTTCTGCTTTGGCCCAGACTCTTCATTCCTTCTGGAGGTATTTCTTTGCTCTTCTCCTGTAGCATTTGTTGTTCCATCACTCAGTTGTGTCCGACTCTTTGCAGCTCCACGGACAGCAGCACGCCAGTCTTCCCTGTCCTTCACCCTCTCCCGGAGCTTGCTCAGACTCAATTCCATTGAGTCAGTGATGCCACCCAACCAACTCATCCTCTCTCATCCCCTTCTCTTCCTGCCTACAATCTTCCCCAGCATCAAGGTCTTTTTAAATGAGTCTGTTCTTTGCATCAGGTGGCCAAAGTATTGGATCTTCAACTTCAGCATCGATCCTTCCAGTATTAAGGGTTGATTTCCTTTAGAATTGACTTGTTTGGTATCCTTGCAGTCCAAGGGGCTCTCAAGAGTCTCCTCCAACACCACAGTTCAAAAGCAACAATTCTTCTGTGCTCAGCCTCCTTTATGGTCCAACTTTCACGTCCATAATGACTACTGGAAAAATCGTAGCTTCGACTATACGGACATTTGCCCTTAAAGTAATGTCTTTGCTTTTTAATACACTGTCTGGGTTTGTCATAGTTTTTCTTCCAAGGAGCAAGTATCTTTTAATTTCATGGCTGCAGTCACCGACCACAGTGATTTTGGAGCCCAAGAAAATGAAGTCTGTCACTGTTTCCATTTTTTCCCCATCTATTTGCCATGAAATGATGGGACTGGATGCCAGGATGGTAACTTGGACTCAGGTAGTGGTAGAGGTGGATAGATAAGAAGGCATTAGGAATTACTGAAGAGGGGCTGATGATAGATTAAATGTAGGAATGAGAAGGAAGTGTCAGGATAGTTCCTAGAATTCTGGCTTGTACAACTTGGTATGATTGCTTACACTGAGACATAGAGAACAACAGAAGAGGACCAAGTTTTGAAAAATATAAATCATGAGCTTAGTTTTAGACATGATATATTTAAGGTACTTTCAAATATCCAAAAAGCGATGCCAGATAGGCAACTGGATCTAGGGGTGCAGGGCTAATCATGAGGCCTGGGCTGAAAATATAAAATTGTGTTACATGTTGGTGATAGCCAAATACGTGGATCTTGATTTAGAGTTGCCCAGATCCCACCAGTGTTCCATGGATTGTGATGAGATAGAGCATACATGTGTGAAATGTTAACTTTCCTCTATCCATGGAGTAGCAGAAGCCTTTAGGCCCATGGCCTCCAGCTCTGAGTATCTATATACAAAGATTATCATTTTCTCTGTGTACAAAATGTTAAAAAGTTGGAAGCTTTATATGAGCCCACTTAGAGGGAAAGAACAGCATGCAATGAGAGAGCCCCGGACAAAGCTTTGGGAAACTCCCACATTCAATGGCCAGTTACATTAAGATGAACCTGCAAAAAGGCTGGTAAGTTTCTTCCAGTGATGTAGGGTAAAAACCAGGAGACTGTCCTACCACAGAATCAAGGGGAAGAAAACATTTCAGGAAGGGAATGATCAAACATGTAAAAAGCTACAAGAAAGAACAAACAGATATAATCTAAAAAATGTCATTTGAATTTAGTGTCATGAAAGTTATCAGTGACCTTGTGGAGAATTGTTTAGATATGTTTATAGGCAAATCCTTTTTAAAAGAACTGAAGAACTGTTCATTTCCATCTAATGTAATATGCTCATGTACATTTGTCCTAATCGTAAAATTACCTCAAATCAACTTCAATGAAGAGGTTAATACTCCTTTATTGCGAGAACAAACTTAGATTACCTATGAAACATTTTAGAAGGCATTGACATTTCCTTTTCACCTTGTTTCATTTTAAAAAGTGTGTAAATCCACAGCTGCTTGAGGAAATGTTTTCAGTGACTAGAAAGTAAATTGACTCCTGTCTGGAGAGGTAAGTTATTTAATATGAGCCTTTGTACATCTTACTTAGAAATTGTACAATAAGCAAGGTATGTTTTCAGTGATTCTCTTATGTCCTCTCCCTAAAGAAATGTCAGTGAAAATAGTTCCTAACTTTAAAGTCTTTACAGTGGGGCAAAGTTTATTTCACTTAGAGCTACGCCCTACACTAGGCTAGAGTTTCACTAGATGCTATAGAGTGAGTGTCTTGATTCAGGCTGTTATAACAGAATACCATAGACTGGATGGCTTAAACAGCAAACATTTATTTCTCACAGTTCTAGAGTCTGGAAAGTCCAGGATGGAGGATCCAACAGATTCAGTGTCTAGTGAGAGCTCTCTTCTGGATTGCAGACCCCGGACCTCTGCTTGTATCCTCATGTGGCGGAAAGAGGGCAAGAGAGCTCTCTTGAGTTCTTTTCAGAACACCAGTCTCAGTCATGAGATCTCCACTCTCATGACCTAATTATCTCCCAAAGTCCCCACCTCCTAATACCATCATATTGAAGGGGGGTAGGATCCAACATATGAATGTTGAGGGGGTCATGACATTCAGTCCATTGCACTGAGCTGGCATTCTTTAATCTCTTGGGGCAGTCTTAAATTTTTGAACCTCCTTGCATCCTTGCAGAGTTTAAGGTTGGCTGTGGATTGGCAGGAACAGATAATGTCAACCCAGGGATCTACACTTACCACCTGCAAGATTAAATTCAATTCTCATTTTATTTGCCAAGGTTTCTGAAAACCCACCAGAAACCAGTTTTCACAGTGAGGGGAAATGGATGCAGCATATTTGAAAGCAGCTCCTGAAGCTCCCAGTAAGGGTCTGTACCTGCTGTGATACTGGGAAGGTAGGCAAGCTTGATTTTGTGCTGTGCTGAAGCTCATCCTCCATTTAAGGAGATTTTTTTTCCAAATAATTCTTTTTTTGTTTGTTTTTAACTGAAATATAGTTGATTTACAATGTTGTTTCAGGTGTATAGCCAAGTGATTCAGTTTCATATTTATATCATTTTAGGGTTCTTTTCCATTATAATTTATTAACAAGATATTGAATGTAGTTCCCTGTGCTCTACTTGTACAAAACAGTTTTTGAATCAAAATCTGCTTCACTGAGACCATATGAAGGGAAAATAGAGCCCAAACATTACTGAAGTATATCTTCTTCCAGGTTCCCAATACTCTGGCAAGCCCATTTCCTATTATAATCCTTTTCTGTTATAATCCCATTCAGCAGGCTCCATGAATAAAGCTCCATGGTTCTATTTTATGATGCCCCCCTGCCCTCCTGGCTCTACTGAACATCTTGAAAACATTAATCAAGGAATATTTCATTCAACCATTTCAAATATTTGAGCACCTGTTACACTGATCCAGATGACAAGGAGTTTACATTTCAGTGAAAGATACCTTTGGCAAGCTTTATAATTCCAGAAACTGAAGAGAATGAAGCAGGTCACGAGGATAGTTAACTGGCCGTGTGGGGAGTATTTCAGGCAGTGTGTTCAGAAAAGATATCTCGGAGATGACAACTGCTCAGACACCTGAAAAAGAGGTTGAAATCCATTGTTGGAAGATTAAGGGAGGAGTATGTCAGGCAGCTGGAACAACAGGCTGAAAACATGCTGTTTTAAAACAAAGAGGACAGTTGTTCAGAGTGTAGTGACTTGGGGGAAGTATGGTAGAAAGTGTTACAGGTCTAGACTAGGATAGACCAGAAGGGCTTTGTTGATGAAAAAATGCACAAAGTGAAAGTTATGAGTTAAGCTTTACTTGGGGGAAAATGGGGAACATAGCTTGGTAGACAGCCCCTCAGATAGCCCTGGGAAACTGCTCCAGAGAGGTAAGGGAGCAGTCAGCATATATGTGATTTTAGTGAAAGGGGTATGCATGCAATGAAGCACTCATTTTGGCAGAATGTTGCTACTAGTCATGAGGAGCAGATGTCCCTACACTAATGAATTTAGTGTTTTTCTAGATATGAGAAGATGCAAAGGGCTTTCCCTAGTGTCTCAGTGGTAGAGGATCTGCCTTGCAATACAGGAGATGCAAGTTCAGTCCCTGGGCCGGGAAGATCCCACACGCTGGGAAGATCCCACATGTCTTGGAGCAGCTCAGCCCGTGCACAACTGCTGAGCATCTGCTCTAGAGCCTGGGCCCCCCAGCTGCTGAAGCCTGAGCCCCCAGAGTCCGTGTTCCACAGCCAGAGGGGCCGCCACGGCAAGAAGCCCCTGCACCGCGGCTAGAGGGCAGCGCCCATTTGCTGCAACTAGAGCGACGAAGACTCAGAACGGTCAAAAATAAATAAATAAATAATCAATAAAATTATCTGTTTAAATAAAAGAAGATGCAAGAAATTGGGCTTGTAAAATCTTCTCCTGGAAATACCTACCTCTCTAAAGGCCTGTTCTGCCAGTTTTTTCCCCTGGACAGAGAATGCCTCATCCCTGATTAGACAGCCCCTCAGATAGCCCTGGGAAACTGCTCCAGAGAGGTAAGGGAGCAGTCAGCATATATGTGATTTTAGTGAAAGGGGTATGCATGCAATGAAGCACTCATTTTGGCAGAATGTTGCTACTAGTCATGAGGAGCAGATGTCCCTACACTAATGAATTTAGTGTTTTTCTAGATATGAGAAGATGCAAAGGGCTTTCCCTAGTGTCTCAGTGGTAGAGGATCTGCCTTGCAATACAGGAGATGCAAGTTCAGTCCCTGGGCCGGGAAGATCCCACACACTGGGAAGATCCCACATGTCTTGGAGCAGCTTAGCCCGTGGACAACTACTGAGCATCTGCTCTAGAGCCTGGGCCCCCAGCTGCTGAAGCCTGCGCCCCCAGAGTCCGTGTTCCACAGCCAGAGGGGCTGCCACGGCAAGAAGCCCCTGCACCGCGGCTAGAGGGCAGCGCCCATTTGCTGCAACTAGAGCGACGAAGACTCAGAACGGTCAAAATAAATAAATAAATAATAAAATTATCTGTTTAAATAAAAGAAGATGCAAGAAATTGGGCTTGTAAAATCTTCTCCTGGAAATACCTACCTCTCTAAAGGCCTGTTCTGCCAGTTTTTTCCCCTGGACAGAGAATGCCTCATCCCTGATTGCCTCCCTGAATTCCTTTCAGGGCGTGCTGAAGGTCGGCAGCTACAGGGGCTAGGACTTGTAGAGGCAGATGGCGGGTAACGGGTTTCATGGCAGCTTTGTCGGCCACCATCAGAGATGGGAGTGTGTGCTCAGGGTAACGGGAGCCATGAAAATTTTGAAGCAAAAGAGAGACATGAAATGTGAAATGCTTTACCTTTAAGTAGATCATCCTGGTTGATGTTTAGAGAATGAATCATGGGGGGTGTGTGAATGAGAAGAGGCTAATAAGACATGAAACTAATCAGGAGGCTGTTGGAGTGGAATAGGCAAGAGGTAATGTGCTCTGAACCAAGGTAGAGGTGATGGAAGCAGTAGAATATGGTTCGATTCAAGACATATTTTAAGCAAAGAGCAGCAGGATTTGCTGAAGGATTGAATCAGTGGAAAGAAAGGAATCACAAATTTCCAAGTCTGACCTAAATAGCTAGGTAAAATATGTACTTTTTTCTAAAATGGGAAAACTGGAAGAGTTTGGTGTGTGGAGGGGGACCAGAAGAAAGAAGGTCAGTGGAAAATAAATATTTTGTTTCAACAAGTTGAGTGTGAAATACCTTCAAGTCATCACTCAATTGGAAATGTCCAGTATGCAGTTGGATATACAAGTCTGGAATCTAGGGAGAGATCAGGCCTGAGGAATACATTTCATTTAACAGTTACCTATTAGATGTATGGTAAGACTTTGCTGTAGTGGGAGATGATACTTTCAGCTTCTCATTTATTCCCAAGGATTCTTCAGACTCTTCAGAAATGTCAGACTTTTAGGATACAGCATTCTGTTAAAATTTTGCAAGATTTGCCAGATGGATACAGATGTTAGATAGATATATACAGATGTTAGAGAGGAGACTTATAGCAGGATGTATGTTCACAACTATATTTCAGAGCAGTAAACAACTGTCTGGGAAGTGATCAGTGGAAACCCTAAGCCTTCCACTTTGGAGGAAAGCAGACAACCCTGAATACAGCTTTATGCTCAGCTGTTATGAGTTTCCTTTTTATAAGGATGAAGAGATATTGTACAACCTAAGAATGACAACTCTTTCATCAGTTTTAAAAGGGAATGCATTCTGCCTGCTACTCTGTTCTTTTGAGAGAATTCCTACTTTTTTCTTTTTTATTTTTGAGTTTGGGTGGAGAGTGCATCAGAGTTTGTGTTGCTTTGGCACTTCCCTAGATTTTTTTCCTTTCCTATTATAAAGTGATTTTCTTTTTCTCTGAAAGAATACAAATAAATATGTGAAAAAGAAATGAAAAATGTGTCTCTTCTTCCTGGTCTTCAGGTAAGTTCCTCAAGCATTGTGTAACTAAATCCCTGGATAGCCTGAGATGATGTGCCACCAGGTGTGGTTTGGCCTAAAGGGACCGTTCTGAATTCTTCTANATGTGAAAAAGAAATGAAAAATGTGTCTCTTCTTCCTGGTCTTCAGGTAAGTTCCTCAAGCATTGTGTAACTAAATCCCTGGATAGCCTGAGATGATGTGCCACCAGGTGTGGTTTGGCCTAAAGGGACCGTTCTGAATTCTTCCAGCCAGTTAATAGTTGTGACCTCAGAGTAGTTACTTTAGAATGCTAGGCCTCCATCTCCCACTTGAGAAAGAGTAATATAGTGTGTTCCCTTTTGCTTTTATATCTCATGACATAATTGTTCTTGGTAAGGAATCTAGATATACCTAAGATAAAAATATCTTTAACTTTAAAATTTTGTCGTTGTTCAGTTGCTCAGTCGTGTCCTACTCTTTGCGACCCCATGGACCGCAGCATGCCAGGCCTCCCTGTCCATCACCAACTCTCAGACCTTTCTCAGACTCACATCCATTGAGTCAGTGATGCCATCCAACCATCTCATTCTCTGTTGTCCTCTTCTCCTCCTGCCTTCAATCTTTCCCAGCATCAGGGTCTTTTCAAATGAGTCAGCTCTTCACATCAGGTGGCCAAAGTAATGGAGCTTCAGCTTCACCATCAGTCCTTCCAGTGAATATTCAGGATTGATTTCCTTTAGGATTGACTGGTGTGATCTCCTTGCTGTCCAAGGGACTGGTTATTATCTTTGTTTTTACCTCATTCTTTTACTTCCAATGCCCCCTTTTAACTTAAATTACTATTTCTTCCAGTATAGTTTTGAAAATTGCAAAGACAGTATATTGAACATTAAGGAGTGTTACATAGCTCTTTTAAGCATCAGAAGCCCAACTAGAATGTGATATTTTTTCTGTGCCACATGACCAGTTAGAGTATTCGATTCAAAATATATATTTCTAAAGGTAGTGGAAAAATATCTTTTCTTCCCATGCTTTGTCAAGTTGATATATTTAAGCTTTGCACATCCATAATATGGATTTAAAACCAGTATACAGAAAGCTCCTAATAGTTCAGCATCTGAACAGGTGAAGTTTTACAATTTCAGCGATTAAAGTGCTAAGATTCACTATCCAGAGGAAAAGCAATAGTTAGAAATGATAGTGAACAGATTTAAAATAAGAGACTTTCACAGACACCTGAGTTGTTATTAATCCTAGAGCATAAGAATTTCCCAAATAAACACTGATTTCTACTGAGCTGTGTAGGTTCTACCAGTTAATACAAAATTATTTTTAAAATTTATAGAAAACTATTTTCCAGATTTTCAGAATTCAGGGCCCCTGTTCTGGTTCTCTATATAGATAGAATGCTTTGTGCAATGCCTTGCACAACAAAAGTAGTATTTACATTTACTGACAATCTCTAATGAGAACATAGGTGGTTATTAAATCTACCAGACATGCCTGAAAATAAGATGAGCTTCATGGAAGACCTAGGCTTTTAAGACCTAGTCTAAGAAGTCACTTCTGCCACGCTTAATTGGTCAAAACAGTTATAAGCCACCTGCATGTAAGGTGCGAAGAAGGCAATGGCACCCCACTCCAGTGCTCTTGCCTGGAAAATCCCATGGACGGAGGAGCCTGGTGGGCTGCAGTCCATGGGGTCGTGAAGAGCCGGACACAACTGAAGCAACTTAGCAGCAGCAGCAGCAGCATGTAAGGTGAAGAAATGTAGACTTCAATTCTAATGGGAAGAGTGTCAAAGAATTTTGCAGCCATATTTAAAACCACCACAATAATCTGTGATATATACACAAACTGAAACGCTATGCAGCTGGAAAAGAAATGAGGAAGTTCTACATACCTTTATGGAAAGATTGCCAGGATATAAAATAAAATGAAAAACGTCAGATGAAGAACGACGAAGACTTTTTTTTGTACAAAAGATGGAGAAATGAGAATATGTGCATGTGTATATTACTATTACCTCTACTAGGCTTAAAAAACACTGAAAGGACTTTAAAAAAATGATTTACATGGAAATCTTTTAAATGGGCCATAATGAATTAGCACAGAAATTGGAGTAACAATTCTAAGCTACATTTTT